CCTGTCTTGGTCGTTAGCGGCCAGCTGCTGGGGTCCCCTTCAGGTTCAAACGGTACTGAGCGAGGAAGGAAGACTGGGGGCAGGAAACCGCCTGCTGTCTCTTGGTGGGAAGAGGAGGCTCTGAGTGTCCTGGAGTGGAGAGGGATGGGGCAACGCGGTGAGGGGAGCAGAGATGGTAGATGGACCCGGGCCGGGCGGGTAGGAGGGGATCCTGTGGACCAAGCTGTCTCCAGTCAACTTTGGCAGGCGGCGGGGGAGGGGCGGACCTGGTTAGAAGTCAGCCCTGGTTTGGCCCCTCTGCAGCAGCTGACCAGCTAGCTGTAGCCTGGCGCTGGACAGGCAGGCCTGCCAAGTTCCAGTATGGTCATTTCTAAAACCCGGAGCCTAAGTCTTAGGGCTTCAGGGCCTGCTGAAGGCTGTGCAGTGCTTAGCCTGGTTCAGTCATTGAAGGCGCGTTTATAAGCCCTGTTCTCGGCGCCCAGCTCTCATTAGTACAGCAGGGGGACAAGACAGTGGTCCCTTCTCATGTGGCTCCGTGCACTAAAGGAAGAAACGGTGATTCCTTTAGTACTGTGGGTGGTGGCACCTGCCATGGAGGAAGATAATGCCAGGTAAAGAGAGTAGGAGCTGATAGGGTGCTGCAGTTGGGGAGAGAGCCGTGGAGGAAAGGCTTGCTGGACGTTTGAGAAGGACTTGAAAGCATGAGGGAAAGAGAGTTCCAGAAAGAGGGAACCGCCAGTGCAAAGGCCCTGTGCTGGGAGCATGCGTGGCATGTTGGCGAAACAGCCAAGCCGATGAGTTTGGAGCAGAGTGAGCGAGGAGCAGGGCTGAGGTCAGGAAGTAACAGAGTCAGCCAGCAGAGGCCAGCACACCTCCTGAATGTCAGTCAGTAAATATTTTGTTTGGGGTTTTTTGGTTCCAGGGATTGAACCCAAGGGCGCTTAACCACTGAGCCACAGCCCCTGCCCTCTTCTATATATATATATATATATTTTTTTTTTTTTTTTGAGACAAGGTCTCCCTGAGTTGCTTAAGGCCTCACTAAGTTGCTGAGGCTGGCTTTGAACTTGGAATCCTCCTGCCTCAGCCTCCTGGCTGCTGGGATTACAGGTGTGCACTGCTGCAGCCAGCTAAGAGAGTAAATGTTTTAAGGCTTTGTTGGCCTGAAGGTGTCTGTGGTGACGTTCAACTCCACCATTACAGCCTCAAAGCTGACCGTCCATAAGCAGATGGATATGGCTTTGTTATGTGTAATACAAGTCATGCCCTGGTCACAGTGTGCCAGCTCCTGCCACAGGGCCTGGAAGGCCTTGGCAGTGCATGGAGAGGGCTAGGAGCCATAATGTCTGAGTTGAGGCAGGGTAGATCTGATCTGAGTGTTCCAGGATCACTCAGGCTGCTGTGTGGGGAGTTAGATGTCAAGGGAGGGCACAGAGTAGAGGCAGGGGGCCCAGTTGGGAGGCAGAAGGTGGTGGAGGCTTACCCAGGGAGGTGCAGGTGGAGGCCATGCCCAGGCTCATGTTTTGGATACTTGTGGAAGGTGGACTGAATTGGATGACTGAGGGCGTGAGAGGGGGGGGAAGCTCTGGGAGAGAGCTTGTTTGGAGGTATGCAGGAATTGGGATTTGAACCTCCTGATGAGGAGATGGCCATTAAACATCTGGCAGAGGTGTGGAGGAGTGTGGGTCTCCCTGGTTGGTCTGCTGGCCGGTGGACAGGTCTGGGGCTAGGCGGGGCCATGATACCTGAGGCTGAGACCACAGGGTAGGGCTCAGTCCTGGCCTTGCCACCAAGGAGGCATCAGCAGAGGAGCCTGGGAAGAGCGTGCAGGGAGGGGGAAGGGGACCAGAGAGGAGCATCCTGGGGTCAGCTCAGGGAGGCCTCCAGAAAGGACCACCTGCCCTGTGCCCCGAGGCCTCAAAAACCCCAAGTGCTGAGAGCTGAGGTCTTGGTGTTCACCTGGAGGAGCGCAGCTTGGCCGGGAGCTGGGGCAGGCCAGATGGAAGTGAGGTCAACGTGGTGGGCCGGGCGGACTGGGGTGTGGGTGTGATGGCCAGGTGAGAAGATAGATGGCCCAGGACGTGTGTGTGTGTGTGTGTGTGTTATTTATTTATTTGGACTTGTTTCTTTGGTGCTGAGGATTGAACCCAGGACCCTGCACTATTTTAGTGTTTTTTTGTTTGTTTGTTTGTTTTTTAATATAGAAGTTAACCAGCTACATGTGAAATGATTCAGTAAGGCAGGGGGCAGTGCTAAAGGGCTGGGAGGGGACTTCTGAGCAGTAGGGGCTGACATTGCAGCCTTCACAGTTAGTGATCAAGCATATAATTCCCCCCCAGCGCCCCCAGCTCTGTGCCCTGGTGCTGGGCTGAGTCTGCCAGGGGCCCATGGTTGCCCCTGGTGCTTTTCCCAGCTCACAGCGAGGCCCCTGGAGGTGGTGGGAAGACACCGTGAGTGCAAGGTGTGGCGGTCGGGCTGGTCCTGGCAGGAGAGCCAGGCTGCAGCCATGTGCTGAAGGGGGTGCAGGGGACAAGGAGGAGTGAGGAGCAGGTCCTGGAGGGAGAGGACTGGAGTCTGATCCTCCGGCAGGGTCTGGAGGCTGGAGGCCAGAGGACAGGACTCTGAACAAGGCCATCAGGGCTTTGTCCACTTTCACCTGCTCAGGTGCAGCCCAGGGCACAGGTGGCCGCCTTTACCCAGCCTCTTAATTTTGCCAAAAGACTGGGACAGTAGGAGGGAGGGGCTGGGGGATTACATGCTTGATCACTGGCTGTGAAGGAGGGAAGGACGTCAAAGGGGTGAGGGAATGTCTGAGGGCCAGGGCGGTTGGCTCAGAGGGTTGGGTCTCGTGACAGGAAGGACTGTTGGGCTTGGGACACTGGAGGGAGTGAGCTGGAAAGACAGGGGAAGGACGGGGGACCTGGGGGCAGGTGGCTGAGATCAGGTGAAGGACAGGATGTTGGGGGAGGAGAAGGTCAGGGACTCTGGGTGGATGATGACTCACCAAGAATTCAGACAGGCGTGTGCTGGGAAGGTGAGGATGAACCCAGCAAGAGCTGAACTCTGAAGCCTCAGGGTGAGGCCTGACGTCCTTCCCGGCCACTCAGCTCGGAGCCAGGGGGTTTCAGAGGAGGGAGGGGAGTGGTTTGGAGGAGGCACCAGGAAGCTGAGGGGGCTGGCCCTCCTCCAGGTCACCTTGAGGGGCTGCCTGGAATGAGAGTCCCTAGGGGACGTGTGGTCAGTGTGAGGAGCGCTGGGCCAGAGGCAACTATGGGGAGAGGGGACACTGAAGGAGAGGAGAGGAGACCTGGGGCTCAAGCAATGAGCGGCCGTGGCCAGGCTGGGGGAGCTGCTGCGGGGTGGAGGTGGGGAACAGGGCACTCACGGCCACGCTACCTTGTCCTGTCCCTGCAGAGCCCATGGGATTTGTCTGTGCTTGTTGGGGTGCTGGGGAACCCAGGGCCTTGTGCGCGCCAGGCATGTGCTCTACCACGGAGCCCACCACGGAGCCCCCACGCAGCCCCCACGCAGCCCATCTGATTGAACAGGCCAGACCGTCCATTGTGGTGTGAACTGAGGACACTGCTGTCCCCACAGTCCATGGAGCCAAGACTTGTCACCAGCTATAAGGAGAATGTGCCCCCAGGGCCTGCAACCCCCTGGAGGCCAGGCAAGAGGCTTCAGTGGGCCTGGGCAGGGTCCCCTCTCGGGACAGACTCAGCCCCTTCCCGGGCAGGCCTGAGGGTGGGTTTCCCAGGGTCGGCTGGGCCTCTGACAAACTCTCCCCAGCCTGGGGCCTGGGAGGCATCGCAGGCAGGACCAGGAGTGGGCCCGGCTGGTGCCCCTGGCTGAGATGCCAGGGTTGGTGGGCAGGGGCCCTCCCTGCTCTGGCTCCGGGGCTGTGAGACAGCGGGGACACTCTGCACTCTGAAGAGGGGCCTTGGGGACTGAGGAAGGGCTCCGAACCCCACTGCACATCCCCCGAGTTGGCCTCCAGCTGCCTCCCCCCAGCCTGTGGCCCCTGCCTGTGACCCCTGCCTGTGACCCCCCTGACCCCTGCCTGTGGCCCCAGCCTGGGGCACCCATTGTCTCCACTTGAGCCCAACATTGAGGGGGGACCCTCCATTATTCTCTTCCCTTTGCCCCCTCTTCTAAGCTACCCTCCCAGTGTATCTGAGTCTTCCCGGTACCCACCTCCGTCCCCGCCGCTGTTACCTCTCAAGAGCCTCCTCATTGTGTGTCTGTCCTTCTGTCCCCTCCCCTGTCCATGCTCCACGCAGTCAGGTTTCATGTCAGACCACGTCACTTCTTGGCTCTAAGATCCCACTGTCCACCCAGGAGACAGAGCTGGGACCCTGCCCCGTCCCAGCTGAGGCCTGGCCCACCTGACCACTGACCACCTGAGTTCTCCCATGACTGTCTCTCCTCTCTGCAGAGCAGCGAAGATTTCTGAGGGGCCTGGAAAGTGGCCTGAGCCATGGAAATGGCCAGTCGGTGCCCATATGCCAGGTCACAAGGGAAGGGCCGCCTACCACACCCTCTCCAGGAACGGCACTGCCCCAGGATCCCTGCAGAGTGCAGAGCAACCTGGCCAGTCCTCTTGCCCACCTGGGCCTGCCCCTGAAGGACACGACTTGCTGGCTGGACACTTCAGGTTTCCAGCAACAGAGCAACTTGTGGTCACTGGCTGGGAGGCCCCAGGGGAAGGTGCGAGAGTCCCCTGTTCAGCAGAAGAACTTGCATGTTGGGGGGACGGGCAGCAGCTCCCTCCGGGAAAGCCACAGGCCGCGGGCTCACCTGCCCCTCTGCATGAGGCAGGTCCCCGGGGCCACACTGGCCCCCTGCTCCAACTTCAGGCCGGCCACAGGCTTCGGTCCACTGGATGGATGCCCACGGCCAGGTCCCAGAGCCTGGCGTGACCTGGAGAGCCGGACTGGCAGGCTGGTGGGGGAGCCCCTCACCCTGGAGGACTTAGCTGTCCCTGCCCAGAGCCAGGCTCGGGCCCCGCCCCCCAGCGCCACCTGCCTGCTGCTGGCCTCTGTGAAGCGCTTGGAGCAAGAGGCCGCTGGCCTCAGGTGCAGAGTGTCCCAGAAGCCCCCTGGCCATGCACCGTGGGGCCCCCGCACCCGCCGTGGCCAGGCATTCCCTGCCCGCCCCCAGCCCAGCCAGCCTGTTCACGCTTCCCGGGATGAGAAGAGACGCCCCCGCGGCCTCCTAGAGACTTGGGGGGTCCAGGCCCCCACAGACCCTGGAGCGCTCAGCCAGCCGGAGTCGTTCACCACCGCTCTGGGGACGTTCACGGGGAACTTCTTTGACTCTGAGCAGGAGGTCCTTCCCGCCCAGCCCCCAGGACCAGGAGACAAGTGTCCCCCAGAGCCTCCACGTGGCTGGGAGGCCATGGGGATCCCCAGTCTCGCTGGAGGGACGGGCAGCTGGGAGGCCAGAGGCACTTCTTCAGCCTCCTCCAGCGCCGCTGGGGACGCCCTCCTCCGGCAGGAAGGAGGAGAGCAGCCCCTGCCGGAGCAGGCAGACAGGGAGGCCGAGAGGACGGCTTCCTGTCCCTCAGATGCCACCTCTGCAGAGAGGACGGCTTCCTGTCCCTCAGATGCCACCTCTGCGAGGAGGAGCGGCCGGCAGGTGGAGGCTGGAGGAGGCTGGGCCAGGGTGGGGCTCCCAGCAGGCAGGGCCTCCTGCTCCCCGGCCTGAGCGCGGTCTTGTGTCCTCTTGCTTCCCACAGCGCGAGGCCCTTAACGGTGTGACCCTGGAGCCCCAGGCAGCCCGGTGAGGCCATGGCTGTGGTGGGTGGGAGAGGCAGGCGGGCGATGGCAGAGCCACAGGAGAGGAAGTGTCTTCCAGGAAGGCAAAGGGAGTCATTGGTCCCTGGTCCCGGGAGCTCTCCTGCTGGGACTTCTTGTCCAGCTGTTAGCGAGAGGGAAGTTGTCCTGCGTGGCCAGGGCCAGCCCCTTGCGACTGCTGGAAAGGCCCCACAGGAAGGGCCCAGATGCCGCTGCCCCTGGGGTGGGAGGGCCGGGTCCCTCCCCAATCAGCCTGGTCTGTCCTCAGCTGGCAGCGACTGTCCAGATGTTTCAGAGCCTGGAGACGCTTGGCCTGGAGGCGGTGGGCAGTGACCACGGCAGTGGCTCTGAGCCGCAGGCGCCTGCTGCGAAAGGGCCTTCGGGCCTTGCGATGGGCCCTGTGGCTCCGGGAGGCACAGCTGGAGGCGGCCTGGGGACGACACACCAAGGCCCTGCTAGCCCGGAGCTTCCAAGAGGTCAGGGGTCTCCAAGCTGGGCCGGGGGAGGTGACGAGGTCCTGGTGTCTCCTGGGGAGGTTCATTCAAGGCCATGACCGACACCCCCTGTCCCTTCTCTCTTGGTCCAGTGGAGAAGCCTGGCTCTGCAGCAGGAGCAAGAGCACCCCCATGTCCAGTCTGTGTCCAGACCCCCTTGTCACGGCCCTTCCTTGGGAAGGGTGGCAGTGGTGGACCCTGCCCAGAGGTGCAGGTCGGCTGGAACCCCCAGGTTGGTCTGTGTGGCCCAGGCAGCTGGCACCCCCACCCTGCCCCCTGCCTTGCTGTCCTCTGTTCCTCCTCCCAACAAGAGGAGGACGGAGGAGCAAGTGTGTCAGAGACCTGGGCACAAGTTGTCTTGGAGCATCACTCTAGCCCTGCAGCCTGGGAAGCAGGACCGCAGGGTGCGAGGTCGGGCGAACCCCGGGTGCTGTTCATGAGGACTTTAGAAACGTCTCCCCTCTTTCTCCGTTTCCTCCTTTCCATCCCTTTACTGGTGCCGTTTCCGATGGTGACAGCAAGCATGCTTGATCTAAAAAGAACCCAGGCTGGGTCTGTAGCGCGCGGTGGAGCGCTTGCCTGGCCCAGGGCAGGCCCTGGCTCCCAGCCCAGCGCAGGGGGAAGTTCTCCATAAAGAAAGAATAAAGCAAGGGCTGGGCCGGGCTCAGCGGTGGGGCGCTTGCCGAGCACAAGCGAGGCCCTGGGTTCGATTCTCGGCACCGCATCTAAATAAATAAACTAAAGGTCCATCAATAACTAAAAAAAAATTTAAAAAGAAGAAGAAGGCAAAAGCAGAACCCGCCGCTCCCAGACAGCTTCTGTAATCAGGAATAAATGCGTTGTCTGGGGCGGGGTGCTCGGCTCCCCCAGCTCCCAGCCCCTGTAGCCAGCTGGAGGGGACAGTGGGGACCCGTGCACTCCCTCCACTGGGTCGTCTGTTTCTCAGTCCAGGGAGACAGAGGCAGGAGGAGGGATCCCGGCCTCGTCCACTGCGGCCTGGGCAGAGAGCGGATGATGGAGACGAGCGAGTCCAGGTCCTGCAGGCCTTGCAGCAGCTGGCAGGTGAGGTGGGGGCACTGGAAAGGGGGTGTTGGGGACAGAGTGCCCCCGGCAGGCCTGCAGGCCTGGGTCCTGGGTGAATGAGTTGACGAAGTATTTGTTTTGGCAACTTCTCTGACGATCTCATTTGGTCCTCACTGTGAGCTCTCTTGGGGAATTCATTGGGCCCATTTTATTCTTGGAGAACTGAGGCCCAGAGACGTGAAGTAATGAGTCTGAGGGCACACAGCAGGTGAGGCACAAACTGTCTTTTTGTGTTTCTGATGCTGATGGAGGCCAAGGCTGGAGGCCTGAACGAAGGACTGTTCCTCACTTACTCATGGCCCCAGAGCTGGGAAGGCCCGGAAGGCGCAGTCTAGCGGCCCCTCCTGGCCAGATCCTCCCTCGCTCACTCTCTTCCTCCTCTTCCCAGTCTCCCTCCTGCAGTACCACCTGGAGGACAGGACCAGGCAGGAGCGGGCGGTCCTGGAGGAGGCACCTGGAGCCCCACAGAGGACTCAGAGGATGGCCAGCCCCCCACAGGCCTGGCACCCAAGTGCTGCAGGTGCCTCAGTGACCTCCCAGCTGCAGAGAGCTTGGCTGCCCAGGTAGGGGGCGTGGAGGAGGGTGGGAGTGGGGACACTTGCCTCTAAGTCAACTCCTGACACTGAGAGGCAGGAAGCGCATCCAAAATGAAAACAGCCGCCACTGACCAGCAGGCCTGAGACGGGCCAGCCCAGCCAGGGCGCTCCTGGCCCCACTGCACCCACACGGCAGCAGGACCCCGGCTGCTGGGGGCAGGTGTATGTGAACAGCACCAGGCTGAGGCGGAGGATCACAGAGCTGTCCGTTTCTTTTTGGTGGGGAGCATCTGCTCTGTTGCCCAGGCTGGTCTTGAACTCCTGGGCTCAAGCAATCCTCCTGCCTCGGCCTCCTGAATAGCTGGGACTGCAGGTGCCACCGCCGTCCCCAGCCTGCGGGGCATGTCGCAATACCATCCCCCACGTAAAAACAGGAGCAATGACCCCATCACTAACTAACCCTGGTGGGCGCCGGGCTCCCGATGCTCGGTTTGAAGTCGACACACGTTGTGTGCCTCTGATCTGGGGAACGGCTGCGCTGTGCAGTCGTTTGAATCTGTGATTCCCCCGTGGGGACTGCCCCGAGAACTTTTAACACAGGAAGTGGCCTAAACCGGGGTCCAGCAGGGCTGTGAAGGTGGAAAGGAGAGAGCAGGGCCTTGGCCAGGCAAAGGGAAGCGAGTGCGCAGAGCCGCCCAGGCGCGGAGGCTCGGGAGGCTCGGGAGGCTCAAGAACAGCGTCTCTTCTCGCTGGGCCTTGGCAGGTCGGACCGGAGAAGAGGTTGGAAAGGCCTGTGGGGCAGGTCACGGGCCTTCCAGGCCACGGGAAGAAATTGACATTTTACCCTAAGGGCAAGGTGGTGGCCACTGGAGGGAGAGACTGGAGAACTGACTGGCGCAGGGCGGAAGCAGCCACTTGGGCTCCCAGAGGTGACAGTGCTGTGGCTGAGCAGGGCAGGCTCCGGTCCTCACAGCAGTTGTCAGGGACAGTGGGCAGGTGGCCAGAGAGCCCAAGAAAGGGCTGGAGATAGCGGGAGCCACGAGTTCCTGGGAGAGCTCACAGGAGGTGTGCGGCTGCCCCGTCCGTCTGTGGTGACAGGCTGGTGACAGGCCGAGGGACGGCACCTCCAGCCCCACCTTGTTTGCCTGAGCAGCGCCTCCTCTCCCTGGGCCACCTCCTGTCCAGCGGTGGCTGAGTGAATGACACCTTTCAGTTCCACGTCTGTCCCAGGAGGTGTTTGTACCTCAGGCCACAGAGGCAGTGACGTGGCCACCCTGAGCGGGCTTGTTGGCTGGCCTGACCAGCACCCAGGGAGCTGTCCCTGTGCACGAGCAAGGAAGCGGCTTCCGCAGATGACCCAACTCGCCTGGCTCCCAGGTGCCTCGGAGGAGCCAGCGTCCTTCAAGATGGCCTGGTCCCTGGGTCTGGACTTCCCAGCCCAGGCCTGCCCTGGCCGTCCCCTCAGTGTGGCTGGGTGTTTGGGGAAGAGAAAGGGGCATTCAGGGACACGGTGTTCTACTGCCCCCTTTTCTTTTGGGATAACTCAAGTCCTGTTTCATAGATGAGAAAGCGGGAGCTCGGAAGGGCCAAGGTGCTGGCCCTCCACCCCCCACACTCAGGGGCGTGTCTCCGTGGGGCAGGGGCTGACCACTGTCCTGGCTCTTGTAGGTGCTCGGGGGCCTGGCAACAGCTGGCACCAAGAGGAGCCCAGGTCCAGAACCCCCCGGCTGACCCCAGGCTGGAGACCCTGAGAGTGTGCCTGGGACGGTGGGTGCAGATGAAGCAGCTCCGAGCCTCAGAGGGCACCAAGGTGACCCGGCTGTCCCTCTGCCTGAAGAAGGCGGGTGAGCGAGTGACGGACAAGAGCAAGGGTCCCCTGGCCACTCTGTCACTCTTACGACGGGAGGTGATAGAAGTGGGGGCTTCTGGGGGCACAACCTGCTGGCCTGGGGGTGCTCTGGGTGGGGGTGTCCCCAGGGTGGGCCACATTCCTGGTCCCCTACATGAGCTGAGCTGGTGTGAGAGGGACTTCCTCCCACAACTCACTTAGTGCCAGGCTGTCCCACGTCCTGCCTGGAAGGGACTGGTGCCTGGTGTCAGGAGGCTCCTGGCCTTGGAGGTGCCCTGGAGGGGAGGACGGGAGGCAGTGGGAGGGCCATGACCCTGAGGGAGAGGCCCTGGGCCTTGAGGCAGAGGGGGAGGGACTCACCCAGCTCCCTGCCTCTCAGGTAGCTCAAGCCCTGGAGCCACCACAGCCCGCGGCCTTCAGAGAGTGGCCCAGGCCCAGGGGCCACCCCAGGGGCCAGGCCAGGGCTCCCTCCAGGAGGCCTGCCGGAGACTGACCCTGACCCAGGCACTGCGGCTGTGGAGGACACGGCTCTGTCAGCACCAGCAGGCTACGTAGGTGCCCAGGAGCGTGGCCTAAGGTTGGCCTGGGCACAGGGTGGGCATAGGAGCGCAGTGTCCCACAGGCCACATGGCTCCTCCCTGTGGCCCCATTGAGGGGTGGGCACAGGGGGTCCTAGGCCCTGGGAGGTGGCCAGGTGACCTGAGCAGGGAGCTGCCAGGATGGTGGAGATGCCTTCCCAGGACAGCAGGGGCCAGGGTTCAGGTCCCAGACTGACATTTGAGAGTGAGGGGAAGGTGATCAGGAGGACCGTGCTCCCGCAGGGATGTCAGAGAAGACAAACCCGGAACTGCGGGATCAAGAATTCCCTCCCGGGCCTGGGGGTGCAGCTCAGCTGGAGAGCTCTCTCCTAGTCTATGCAGGGCTCTGGGCTATATGCCCAGTTTAACTGGGCACAGTGGCACCTGCCCATGATCCCAACTATTCAGGAAGTTGAGGCAAGAGAATCATGAACTGGGCAACATTAGAGACCCCATCTCAAAAAAAAAAAAAATCTGTTCTTGAAAGCCACACCTGGTATCAATCATCCCCCCATACACTTGGCCCATTTGGACCCTCAGTCTTTTTTTAATTTAATTTTTTGGGTTTTTTTGGTGCTAGGTATGAAATGGAAATGGGGAAAATCATGCTAGTGAAACAAGTCAGATTCAAAATCAAGGTGGAATGTTTTCTCTCCTGCAAAAACTAGAGCAAAACAAAGGGAAGAGGTGGGGGAGGGATCAGGTTTCATAAAGCTCCAGAAAAGATCAGGGGAACTGGAGTGGGGGAGGGAGGGAGGGAGGAGATAAATGGAATGAATTTGACAAAATCATGTTATATTCATATGAAAAGGTACCACAGGGAATTCCATCTTTGTGTGTATACAGAAGATAGAAAGGGAGTCTAGCCGAGTGGAGAAGGGGGCAGGGGGAGGAGGGGGGAAAGGGAGATAGAGATTGAAATCAAATGATTTTGTCAGAATAAGCCCAAATGTATGATTATAGTGCCCCAATTCAAACATCCACTTTTGGTGTGTGTGGTGCTGGGGACGGAGCCGGGCAGGGCATGCTGGGCCGAGCTCTCCTCCTGGGCTGCACCTGCCTCCCTGGGACTCAGTCCTCGTGACTCTCAGAACATCCGGTGCTGCCCTGCTGCCTGCAGTGCGTCCCAGGCCTGCTGTTCTTGCAGCTGGGGAATGACCCCCGGCCTTGGTTTTCCTGTCTCCGTGGCCAGGCGCCGGCAGACATCCTGTGGCCGTGTGCGGGCTCTGGAGTCGGGTCACTGGGCCTGGGGCCTAGCTCACCCCTGGGGCCTAGCCACGATCCCCACCCTCCCCTGGGAGTCGGTGATGCAAGCAGAGTGCCAGGGGAGATGTGGAAAGGTCTGGGAACCCTGGCCATTGGGTGGATGTCGGGGTGGGACCCCACTGGGCACTGCTGTTTCTTGAAGCCCCTAATGACCCTAGCGTGCGGCCAGGTTGGAGGCTGGGGCAGGGCTCTGGCCCCGTGTCTGCCCATGGTGAGCCCTTCCTGCCGGCCTCTCTGCAGCCGGGACGTCACCCTGCTCTGGCCAGAGACCCTGACCCTGCCACCTCTTCTGCAGCTCCTTCTCTCAGGGCCTGCGGGAGAGGACCCTGTGGCACATCCTGAGCTGGTGGCGCTTGAGGGCATGGGCTCAAGGCACTCTGTCAGGCGGCAGCGAGACCACGGCCCTGGGGCCATGGGGCAGTGGCCCGAGAGCAGAGGCCTGGCTGGGCTGCAGTGACCCCCAGGTTCCCTGGAGCAGGTGAGGGCAGGGTGGGGATGGGCAAGGGGAGGAGTGGGGGGAGGGGCACCCAGGACTCAGCGCCTGGGTCCCTCCCCAGGCTCCCAGGACCCCCGTCCTCCTGGAGCCTCTCCGGATGAGCTTCCTGTGGGCAGCTGGGCGGCGACGGCAGAGGCAAAGCCTTCTGCTCTGGTGGGCACGGGCCCAGCAGTCCCGGGGCGCAGCGAGGTGGTGCCAGCGCAGCCTGCAGAGGCGGTAGGGCCCCTCCCCACCACGCGGGAGATGGCTGTTCCCTGGCCCTTCTCCCCGCAGTCTGGGCCTCACGGCAGCCTTCCCTTGGGGCCTCTCTCATGTCCCGTCAGCTTGGCCCCTGATGCAGGTCCTCCCATGCCCGTCCTCCTGCCCTACCTCCCGAGAGGGTGGGCACTCTGCAGGGTCCTCGTGTCTCTCAGAGGTCACAGCTGAGGCACATTCATCCATCCATTCGTAGCACAGTGCCCAGGAGTGGTCTGCCCGGGGCATAGCCCAGACTTGCACCTCACGGGCTGCGTGACCTGGGCGAGTGGCTGAAACGCTCCGTAAGATGGGGCGGTGGTAGTGCCCACTCCAGTGGGCGCGTCCATCCGGGCACAGCAGGGCACTCGGGCCACAGCTGTGTTTGGTTCTGCCTGAGCTTGGGACTTGGGACTGAGGGGGGGCCCTTCCTATCGCTATCACCTGCCACATGACCCCCTCCAGGCCCCAGCAGCCCATCCACCCCCTGATGGAAGCAGGGAGGGTCACCCAAGCCCTCCCTGCTGCTGAAGGGAGGAGAGAGGGGACTCCTGGCCCAGGGTGGCAGTAACAGTGACTGCCCCTGGGTGGACATGCCCCTTCCCAGTGTCCTCCTCAGCTGGAGCCACTGGACCACAGCCCAAGGTGCCCGGAGGGAGTTGGCTGCCCACCGGGCCTGGGAGCGGAGCTGCAGGACTGCACTGGGGCTGTGGCGGCAGCGGCTGGCGCAGTGGCAGGAGGCCGAGCAGCGAAACCAGGAGCGGGGCCGGGGACTGGCGCGGGAGGCGCTGCGCTGCTGGCACTCCTGCTGGCAGAGTGAGTCGGGCGTGGGCCTGGGTCATCATTGAGGCCCAGGGCTCCACACCTGCGGCAGGGCACACCCAGGACAGACCGGGTGGCGGAGCAGGATGGGGGTTGGGACACTAGTCATGGCTGGGGCCCTGCCTTCCCTCCCCTGGCTGGAGGGACCTTGATGGAGCCATTTGGCCCCTGAGCCTCAGCTTACTCATCTGTAAAAGGGGTATGATGCAGCACCCAGCTCATGGGGTGATCGTGGGGATCTAGGGACCCCCCACACAGCTCAGCCCACAGACCAGTTCCTACCCGGTTCCACTGTGATCACCTTCATCTTCCTCCTGTCACCCCAGCCTGGCCTCCCAGAGTCACTGGTGGGAGCTCCCAGGTGGCAGGTCCCCAACGGGGTGGGTGGGTGGCTCAGCAGTGGAGGCAGAGGGTTTGTCTGCACATGCCAGGGCAGGGGGTGGGACGGGATATGGCCAGGGAAGGAAGGGCGTGGTCCCAAGATAGACTGGCTCCTTGGAGGGAGGGGCTGTTTCCTCTGCTCTGTCTGAGCCCAGCTATCATCAGGGCTGCTAGAGCCTCCGTGATCCCCGCTGTGTAACAAATGACCCCAGAACTAGTTTTTAGTAAGTGTTTAGTGGCAGGGATGGAGCACAGGGCCTCAGGCGTGCCAGGCAAGGGCTGTACCCTGGCTGCGCCCCGCCCTGTTGACCAGTCATGAGCCACAGACACTTAGTATCTCAGAGTCCATGTGCTGGGTCCAGGGTAGCTTGGCCAGGCACGGAGGCTGCATGCCATCTGAAGGTGGGGATGTAGTGTCATCTGAAGGTGGGCCTCTCAGCAGGGTCCCTGCGTGAGTGGCAGCTGCCCCCACCCTGCAGGTGAGTGATCTAAGAGGCAGGGAGGGTGCCCGCCAGAAGCTGGTCGTTTATGACCTGGTCAGCACCCCTGCACCTCTGCTGAATGCTATTGGTTGGAAGCAGGTCAGTTAATCCAGGCTGCACTTCAGGTGTGGGAGGGGGCATTGCACAGGACATGGACAGCAGGAGGGATCTTGGGGCTGACTTATATGAATAGTCTGATGGGCAGAGAAGCGCCTGATCTCTCTGGAGACAGCTGCTTCTCCAGCCCAATTCCTGCCCATCCGGAATGCTGACCGATGTTGACACAGGACCTCCTTGGTTTTAAAGAAAAACTAGAAATCTGGATTTAAAATCTGAATTCTAACAATGCCTGAACATTGTCAAAAACTTTTTTGGAAAGGCAGGGGCTGGGGGCGCAGCTCAGTGGCCGAGTTGTGCTTAGTGAGGTGCCGCCCCGGGTTCCATTCCCTGCTGAGGGCCATTACCAAGTAGGAATGACGCATCGAAATTTCCTTGCCAAGCGTACCCCATGCTGCTTAGAGGACATTTGACGGGACATTGCATGCATGCTTTAATGAGGTGACCTTGCTCAAGGACCAAGGCAGATCCGGGTTTAGAGCTGATCAGGTTTGAGGAAGTAACC